TGCTTCACCAAAATGCCAACTCCAACTAAGTTTGTATCATCATAATTAATATTTACGTACTAGGCACTGTCCTTGATGGTTTACATATTACTAACTCATTTAACCATCACAACAACTTATAAAGTAGATCCTCTTTAAACTGTCTATAAAAGATAGAAAATTGTAGTACAAAAGTTGGCCAAGGTGACATAATCATGTGGCTAAACCAGAATTTGAATCCAGGCACTCCAGTTCTTAACTACTATGTTTGGCACACTACAGAAAAGTGTTCTCTTCAAACCTAAATTGAGGTCATGCTAAGCCTCACCTACTTGCAGAGAATCCATTCTGTGTTAAAAATTTTATTTGTAAGGGCCAGTGCTGTGGTATAGTGGGTAAAGCCACAGCTGCAGTGCCAGCATCCCATTTAGGTGCTGGTTCGAGTCTCAGCTGCTCCACTTCCAATCCAGATCTCTGCTGTGGCCTGGGAAAGCAGAAGATGGCCCAAGTCCTTGGGCCCCTCCATTGGCATGGGAGACCTGGAAGAAGCTCCTGGCTTCAGAATGGCACAGCTCCGACTGCTGCAGCCATTTGGGGAGTGAACCAGTGGATGGAAGACCTCTCTCCCTCTGCCTCTCTGTAACTCTGCCTTTCAAATAAAATAAATGCTTTAAAAAATTTTTTTGCAAACTAATAAAATACTGGTATAGCAAAAACCTGCTAACTGTAATTATTATGAACTATTTGCTGATATACTACTATTCAGAAATTACAGTCTGAGTATAACACTCTTGCTGCTTTTAGTTGTGTGTGTGTGTGTGTGTGTGTGTTTAATTTATCTATTTGAAGTTACAGAGAGAGAGGAAAAGACACAGAGAAAGACAGAGACAAAGACCTTTCTTTGCTGATTCATTCCCCAAATGACAGCAATGGCAGGAGCCGGGCCAGGCCAGGAGTTTCTTCCAGGTCTCCCACATGGGCGCAGAGATCCAAGCACTTGGGCCACCCTCCACTAGCACATCAGCAAGGAGCTGGATTGCAAGTGGAGCAGCTGGGACTCAAACCAGCACCCATATGGGATGCTGGCACTGCAGGTAGTGGCTTAACCTTCTATGCCACATCGCCAGCCCATGCTTTTACAGCTTATCTAAGATATTTTAAAAGCTACCAGAGGGGCAGGCCGGCAGCTGTCTGCAATGCAGGCATCCCATATGGGATAAGTTTGAGTCCTGGATGCTCCACTTCCAATCCAGCTCCCAGCTCAAGGACTGGGAAAGCAGTGGGAGATGGCCCAAGTACATGGGCTCCTGCCACCAATGACAGGGAAACCTGGATTAAGTTCCTGGTTCCTGGGTTCAGCCTAGCCCAGCCCTGGCCATTGCAGCCATTTGGGGAGTGAACCAGTGGATACAAGATACCTCTCTCTCTTTGCCTTGCCTCTCCTTCTCTGTGACTTTGCCTTTCAAACAAGTAAATAAATCTTTAAAAAAAAAAAAAAAAAAAGCTATAGCAAAGAAATGTTATGATTTCCTAATCATAGAACCAGAGCAACACTGCAAAACTTCTCATAAAATATTAATATAAACTGAGGAGACATGAGCCTCAACTTACTGAAGGCCAGAGGAACTTAAGCAAAAATTATGATTTGACTTTTTTCATATAGATCTAGAACAATTTCATCCACACATAATATATCAACGGAATTCATTATTCAGAGCCAACTTTGAAGAAAAATATTTAAAAGTGAACCATTTCGGGGCCGGCGCTGTGGCACAGTGGGTTAACGCCCTCACCTGAAACGCCAGCATTCCATATGGGCACAAGTTCAAGACTCAGCTGCTCCACTTCCGATCTAGCTCTCTGCTATGTCCTGGGAAAGCAGTAGTAGATGGCCCAAATCCTTGGACCTCTGCACCCACATGGGAGACCTAGAAAAAGCTCCTGGCTCCTGGTTTCGGATCGGCACAGCTCTGGCCGCTGCGGCCAATTGGGGAGTGAACCATCAGATGGAAGACCTTCTCTCTCTCTCTGTCCCTCTCCCTCTCCTCTCTGTGTAATTCTGACTTTCAAATAAATAAATAAATCTTAAAAAAAAAAAATGAACCATTCCTAAATTTGTATAAAAATGCTTTCTTAAACTACTTTGTTTTTTTAAAAAATAAGATCCCTCGTTAAAAAAAATAAAAGCAATGTAAATTCTACAGGTAGAATCCAGCAGTAACATTTTCTGACCAAGGCAACTAGGTATTAAAATTAAAGCACACAATTTGCCTAATAAATCCAGGTAAAGAAATCTGTGTCTTAATTAAAGAACCTCAGTGATTACCTAAGAGCCTATGGTATCAAAGTATTACCCAGGTATTACTTAATAATAATTGATGCTTGTGCAACTAGATAGGTATGCATACTGTGACTCTAAAAATAAAATGGAAAATAGTTTGATTTACTTACCACACTAACCCATTCCTCAAAGCCCACCTGAAGTGATAAAATCAACATGTAAAACAGAAGCTTGAGATTTGCTATGGTTATAGGACTACATGTTTCTAAAAAATCTGACAGCTACTTCCACATCAAAATACTATTGCTTCATTTAAAATGACTAATAACCCAGCCACTGGACAACAGGTGTTTTACCTAACCAGTTTAAATTTTGTGTGTGTGTGTTTTTTTAATCAGTCTTAGTAACTTATTTACCTGCTGTATGATTTCAGATTTCTTATTTATCAAACAAGTAGCTGAGATAACTTTTCTTCCAGCTTTAATAGACTAGAAATTTTTTAACTCAACAGCTAAACACAATATGTATTTCTTTTACCTTGCTTCATAGAAAATATGTGTGTGTGTGTGTGTGTGTATTAGCAGTATACACTTAGTGAAAAAGCTTTCTTAATCTTGATGAAGGATGGGATGGGAGAGGGAGTGGGAGATGGGATGGTTGCGGGTGGGAGGGAGGTTATGGGGGGGGAAAGCCGCTGTGATTCAAAAGCTGTGCTTTGGAAATTTATATTTATTAAATAAAAGTTGAAAAAAAAGAAAAAAACTTTCCTTTATTTCCAGTGTTTCAGTAATCCTTTGGCTTGTCCTTTAATTTGGATCTCAAGACAAAAATTCAAATTGACTTAGTAACTATACTTTATTAGACACATACTTCAAGTGCCTTGCTCAAAACAAAAACAACTGTAATGAATCCTTGGGCTACGACAGTCACATTTTTAAAATCAAGATGAAAAACTGTAGCATGGGGAAATGACACAGAAGCTTCTAAACCAGGATGTCACTCAGTGACCTAGGAATTCCTTTGGTCTATATCCAAAGCCTGAACTGGCTTAAAAATATGTGATATAAGACTGACCTTAGTTTGATCATGCCCATGCCCACATAAGTGAACTAAATACCCAGCAGGCATTCTAAAAAAAAAAAAAAACCGAGACGCTTAGACAGAGTTCTTATTATGTATGACATTAGACATAAAAATATTAGTTTTTTTTCCAAGACCATAAACTATCGGCAAATTCCAGGTGATAAGGAGAAAGCACATCATTACATTCTGGTAAGTCTTACAAGTAAGATAATTGAAACTAACAAAATAATCCATAAAGTGCTCAACAACTAGTTGGATCTAAAGAAACAAAAAAAGGTAAAAAAAAAAAAAGCACCTATTAAAATATGGAATGATAGTGGAAAAATAAAATTCCAGGATCAGTAGCAATAAGCATCCAAAAATGAAAAAAATCAAAAGGAATCAGTCCTAAGTTTCTGAGCATGACCAACCAATTGGAATAAAGTTGACAATTCGACATTTTTGGGTTTTTTTTTTTTGCTAAAAAAAAAGTGTCATCTAACTCTAAACAACTAACATAAGAAAAACTTTAAAAATCATTATGTTCCCAAAGAACCTGTCAATTTTAAAGTTATTTCCACACACTGTATTAATTTCCTTTCACATTTGACATGGCTTTGGTCATTTGGAAGCTGAATTCAAAAGATTGTTAACATATTAGTTGATGGATAAAACAAATTCCGAGATCATTCAGTTACTTTCGTATCCTATTTCAGCCTATTCTATTTTCTTGGCAAGATTATCGATAATGGCGTTTTTCTTGTATGCAGCGGACTAATTTTCTTCCCTTCATGGCAACTGCTTTTACCAGCAACCTATGTTCACCTCCCAGTGAGGACATTCAAGCAAGCTGCTACAATAGGTCCAGCAACAAGTAGCCCAAACTCAGCTGTTTAAACCTAGAATACACTTGTCAACTGCAATAGCACAACAAAAACCTCCCTGAGAGGTAAAAAGGAAGCACCACTGTGACTCCTCTGAACTCTTAAGAAAGTTTAACTTCAAAGTGTTTTAAAACAAGATTGAAACAATCAAAGCACTTACACAAGACGTCAGTTTAATGACCGTCCTAATCAATGCTAGCCACCATAAGGCATCATTAGGCGGACCAGCATCGCTCACTCTTTCACTGCACTAGTCCCAAGGCATTTATCCAAAACGGACAGAAAAGGCTTTTTCACAACTGCTTTACACTAAATGTCTGTGCAACCACCAAGCACGACATGTCCAAAGGAACAGTTGGTTCTTAAAGAGAACGGCCTGACTCAGGGACGGAACACGGCTGCTAACACAGGGGCAGCTCAGCACCGCAGCCTCTCCTGAGACCGAAATGCACCAGAGCAAGACACGACTCTGTACTTTCCTAACTCAAAAACTTCCCCCACCATCTCCAAGCTTCCTGCCCGACACGAGGCCATTAACCAGGAGACAATTTGTTTACACTACGGATACCTCCCCCACCCCCTGCCCAGGAGCAAATCCCTCTGGCTACCAATCATTCTGACCCAGTGCCGACGCTGAGGTAAATGCACTCTCCTAACGTAAACTGCTTTCAAAGTTGGCCTCCCCCTCCCACTCGGAGAGTGACACCAAAGGGGGTGAACTCGGTAAACTGTCTTAACCGAGGCAAACTGGGGCTGCACACGACCGTAAGCTGAAGCAGGAGGTGGGGCTTTACCTGCAGTTCACACCAGGCGACCTCCACGGTGGTTTCAGTGTCCAGCCCTTTGTAGACCGTCTTAAAGGATCCTCTGCCGATTTCGATGTCAAACTTGAGAAAGCGGCCATCGTTGGACATGCCCACGGCCTTGGTCTCCAGCTCTTCGATGTCATCCTGTTGCTGGCTCCGTTCCTCCGGGGCCTCTTTGGCGCTGCCGCCGCCACTGCCACTTCCACTTCTCGCCGGCGGTGGCTCCTCTTTGCTCCCCGCAAGGCTGGGCTGGGAAACTGGCCGGTCTTTGCTGGCACTGCTGGGGGCAGTCGAGGCGGCGGGGCCGGCGACGGCTTGTTCCCCAGGGGCAGCGGCGGCTGGAGGCTGCTGGGCCACCTGGGAGGCGGTGGTGGCGGTCAAGGTCTCCTCCCGGGGCGGCTCGGGTGGCGCGCTCTGCGGAACAACCGCGGGGACGCTGGGCTGGGGGAGCGGCAGAGGGAGGCCGGGCAGCTCCAACGCAGTGGCGTTGGAGTCGCAGATGACGCTCCGGCGGAAGAAGCGGTGTTCAGTGGTGGTGGTGGTCGCGGCCGCGCCGCGACTGTCCTTGTCCATAGTGTGGCGGCGGCGCCGGTACTCCTCGGTCCTGCCAGCTGCAGCGTCGGTCGCCGCGGCGCCCAGCTTCTCCCCCACGGAGGAATCGGAGCTGGAGCCATTCTTGGGGGCAGGCGCCGGCGGCGAGAGGAACAGGGAGCTCGGGGTGCTGCTCTGCTTCTCTGCGGCGCCGCCAGACATGGTGGGTCCGCGGGCGCGAGCTCGGATTTGTGAATGAAAAGAGGGTGAAGGGCCGCCCCGCGGGAGCCGCGAAGGTCCGCAGGGCACCGCTCTCTCGGGGCGGGTTCGCAGCGGCCCGGACGACTCTCAGTCAGCAACGACCGGACGCCACGAAGGCGAGGCGGGACACGGGGCCCGGTTTCGGCGGCTGCTGCTGCGGCTCACGAGGCGGGCTCGTCGGTGGGCGATTCGGCAGCGGAGCCACGGGGGTTAGCGCTGCACGGTCCGCATCCATCCTGCGGCGAGCGGCGGCCGGGAAGGCTGTGGCAGCAGAGGCGCCGCAGTCATGAGGGGCAGGGCACCGGGCCGGCAGCGAGTCGAAGCGGATGCGGCGGATGCGGCGGCGGCGGCTCAGCTCCCACCGTCGCCGCTCGCCGAGCAGGGCGGGCTAGGCCCTGAGGGCGGCGGCACGGCGCGGAAGGGACGAGCTCCGACGCCCAGGCGGTGGCAGCCTCAGGGCAGGAGTGGGAGGGGCCGAGGACGGCGAGGGAGGGCCGCCGCCCCGGGGCTCCCGGTCACTCCGGCGGTCGCCTCCTTTCACACGCGCCCCCAGTCAGGGGACCGGTCTCACAGGGCGCCCATCGCCCGAATGGGAAGGGCCAAAGCCGCGAAGCCTCGGAGCCTGAGGAGCGGGCCCCCCCTTCCCCAAGGCCTCCCTGCCCGCCCCGGGCCTGGCAAACCCCCGTCTCCTTCCCGGGCCGGGGCCGGGGGCTGAGGAGGGAGGGAACGGTGGGGAGGGGAGGGCCGCTCACCGCGGGCCCGGGCTCCGCTGCTTCTCTGGGCCGAGAGGAGAGGAGACCGAGAGGACTGGGTGAAGGGGGATGGGGAGAGAAGAGAGCAGTCACCCCACCAGGCGCCTTCTGTCACCGAAGACGGGGGTGCGGGGTGGCCGACGGAGAAGAGCCGCGTCCGCCGGGGAAACTCTCCGCGCTAAATGGCGCCGGGAGTCTGAAGCCTCCACACAGCCCGCTCCGACCCCGCCCCCCGCCGCCCGGGGCAGCCCCACCCCCACCGCGCGCGGGGGGCTCTCGCGCAGGCGCGCCAGGACCGAGGCGTCCTAGGACTTGTAGTTTGCGAATTGTAGGGCTTAACGGGGCGGAGTGAAGTGGAGCCTACGACTTCCGTGATGCCCTGCGGCCGCTTTAGCCCAATGCCTCTTGGGAGTTGTAGTTTTCTTCGGAAACCGCCCCTTCTGGAAGGCCGATGGGAGCGTCATCGTGGGTCGCTCAAACCCCATCCCGAAGTCAGCGCTAGCTAGGAAAATTATTATTTAGAGATTTATTGTGGAAAAGGGCAAGGAAGAAAAAAAAGAAAGAAAAAGAAAGAGGGAGGGAGAATGAGAGGAGAGACTCCCATCATGCTCTGCTAAGGCAAGAGGGCTCTTAGGGTTGCCATGCAATGAAAAATGATCTTTAATGGAGAGAGCCGCTGCAGTGTTGAGTGACTGTGGGGGCGTTGGGGTGGAGGGGAAGTGCAAAGCAAGATAACCCGAGCTCGAGTCCAGAGTGTTGGAGGAGCCAACGACTCCTAACGTAGGATTAAAGAAACTTTGTAAAGATGGTACAGGAGGTTAATATCGATTACGTGACTGGAGAAGGAGACAGGGAGATTTATCTTGCATCCTCTTTCCCTCCATGACAATTAAGGCCACATTTCTCGGCGCTACCAGTCCCAAGCCCGTTCGCAAAAATGAACTACTGTACTGAAATCCAGGATCATCATGAACTCTCTTCACGTTGCCAGAAAACCAGTGAAAGGGGCGTGGGGCTGGAGTGGGAAGGAGGATGATTCGGGCAAAGATAAAATCCGCACATCGTTGCGTGTTTGACCACAAACTTGAGGTCTGAGTTGACTTCTGCCTTTGTAGTTGACTGAAACGTGTTTTCAGTCTGGCTCTGTTAAAACATCGCCATCCTCTTCCTCTAGACCCGCGTGTATGCGCGCGTGTGATTCACACAAAGGCTCTGCACCCAGGAAGCCCGGGGCCACACAGAAGTTGCCAGTAATGGAACGCTTTTCTTGAAAGCATCCTTGTGCTCCCTGGACCCCTCTGCTCTCTGCGACTGCCCAGGATGGTACAGGTGGTGAGCACCAGGGGGCACCAGACAGAGCAGGAAGCCCGCCTCGGGAGCCAGATGGCAGTTGAAAGTCTTCGCCCGACGGGTAAGAGCGGGAAGCGCTCAAACGTGCGCAACCGCAACCGAGCGTCCCGGCGCGGCTGGCCTCCCCGGCGCCCGCTGCGGGACGGGCCCAGAAGCGCGCGCCGCCGCCGGGGAGCCCCCCGAGAGCGCGGCTCGGAGGCGCCCTGGCGGAAGGCGCTTCGGCGCCGCGCGTTGGTGAGCGCTGCGCTGGGGGAAGTCTTGTCCCTGCCTGTCGTGTGCCTTGGTCTGGCAGCAAGATAGCTAACGCTGTTTTTCTTATTTTGCTTCTCCAAAGAAACTGCACTTTCTGCTTTACGAAGACGTTTGTTTCAAGCCAGTCCTTGTTAGGTTTCTTGAAGCTGGCGGGTTATGAACATTTTAGAAAACAAATTCAGTAGAGGCAACTAGAGGGCTGCAACAACAGTGTTCCGTTGTTTGAGAACTCGTGCCTTTCATTCCTCAGCTGAGGTAATGGTTGCATTTCACTATGGTGAATGTAATTAATGGTTTATCTCCCGTTCTGAGCTTAGTGTGAACAAGGGACAAAGGGACTGTCAAGTACATTTTTATTGGACTTCTTGAGGGTGCTTAGAACTTGCTTTCCTACCAGAAAATTGTCTGCTTTTAAACTAAAGGCAACTAGTAATAAACTAGTGAATTAAAAAGAGTGCAGTCAATCGCCATATTCACTTTTTGGCTGCATAAAAATTTGTGGATATTTCTGTTTGGATAAGTTATTAAAGGATTTCACTGTTGCACTCCAACTTAGGCTTGAACACAGGTGCCTTGACAATCACCACACCCTATGGACATGCCTTTTCAACCACGAACAACTAAATTCATTGTAAATAATTAAATTAAGTGTTGACTTAAAACCGCACTTGTCCATGTGACAGCTTTTCCTACTTGTGTAATGTTAGCTTCAGTATGAAAACATACAATTTTAAGATGAGTATAATCATATTGTATACGACGGTTAGACTTAAAGGTTTTACTGTTTAGTGAGTATTTTACTACAAACAATTTACCCAGTTCTCTTTTTATTGCTAACCAACCTCCCAGTAACATGATATCTTCCCTTACCCAGTCTGTAATCTCTAATAGCTACTCTTCCTCTCTGTCATTTTAATTGTCAGGTAAACGATCAACCCCTCTATAAATCCACATAAAATATCAAGTGGCTGTGAGGAAAGTTAACAGGCAACCAGGATTCAGTGCATGCACTAAGCTTGCAGGTCTCACTTCCTGACATTTCGGTCCATCAGAAAAATACAAGTATTTTAGTCTCTCTCTCATCGTGTTCTTTGTTCACTCTAGTGCTGTTCATTTTCTCATGTTGGCTCATGCTTCTCTCTACTTCCCATCCATTCACATTTTGTATTTCCATGGTCCCTGCCATTATCAGACACAGCTTTGATTTAGACAGTGACTGACTGATCCTGAACACACAAATTCCACCTTTTTTAAAAGGTGGCATACTTCACAGGGTAGCTTCTGGAAGTGTGTGGTGGGGGGGGGGGGGTAATACCATACAGGGCATCTCTCTCTCTCCCTCTGTCTCCTTTCGTTCCCCATGCTCTTTTTCTTGCTTGTGGATAACTTCATTTACCTCTCTGTTCTCTGGAAGAAGTGAAAATCAGGCAGTTAAATAATGAATAATAGATTTTTAAAAAAAAATTAATTATTATAAATGAAATAAAGGGGTTAGGATCTGCCCTACATCAAAATATATTATAAAAACATAAAATGAAATCTGTATGGCACTGAGATACATAAACAGAGGACACAATAGAAAAACAGTTTCATGAATGTATGGGAATTTCATATATGAGTAAGTTGGCATTTCTAGTGGAGCAAAACAATAAACCGCATTTGGACAATTAATTATGCACTTTAAAAACAAAGTAAGTCAGTGTCCACCTCACATCATTCACAAAATTCTTTTCCATTTGGATTTAAGAGTTAAACTTTAAAGAGCTTTAAATGATTTTTTTAAATGTATGAGAACATGAGTTAGGAGAGAGCTTCAAACACGATCTCAAAGCCATAAAAATTGACAGTATCAAAACTAATAACTTCATTCAATGAAATACAAGTGACAAGCTGGCAGAAAAAATTTGGAAACTACATAACAAAAGGCTAAAATCCAAAATAAAATATAAAACAACATCGTAAATCATTGAGAAAAAGACAACCATATAGAAAAAAAGAAAAGGATATAAAAAATTAGGAATGAAGAAACACGAATAACAAAAGATAAGTATGAGAAAATCCTAAAGCTCAGTTAACTAGGGAAATGTAGATTAAAATAATATTTTTCCTTCATAAAATTGGCAAAATTTCTAAGGATTTATAATGTCAGATGTTGCCAAGGATGTGGGAAACTCATGCTGTCAATGATGATATAAATTGCTATCACCTTTTTGAGAACAGTTTATTAGTAATTACTAAAATGCACCATGAGCATAGATTTTTCCACTTTTTTTTGAGAAATGCTTGCAGATGTGCACTAAGAAATATAATAGCATTCATCATGGCTTTATCTGTGGCAAAAATTCAAATGATCTGTATGTCTATCAATTAAAAAGTGAAATAAACTAAGGTATCTCCAATTTTAAAAACACCATGCACTAATAGAAAAAAAGGAAGTAAATATAAACGTGGCATAAATATTAAGTGGTAGTATAAGAAGTTAAAAGCTCAAGCTGTAAAGAATATGTACTAGATCATATGTTGTATATTTTTTAAAGAAAAATTATGTGAGTGTATTTAAGTGCACAGAGAATAACTCTGGGCTTTTTATAGAAAATATTAAAAATAAAAAGGTTTAAAGGAAAATATTAGTAGATTATTAAATTAGTAAATTGGTATTTGAACAAGGAAAGAAAACAGTAGAAAAATATGTTGGGAAATATAAAAGGCATTTCTTTTCATCACATTAAAAGGTGTCAGCTAATAATAACTGATAGAATTAAAAAGTAGAGAGCTATTTAACATGGGAAGCAGGATACACAGCAGACTCATAGAATGGCAGATGCCCTAAATAGCACTCTGGCCTCAGAATCAGCCCTTAAGGCATTTGGATCTGGCCAAAAAGCCCATGAGAGTACCTCAGGCATGGAAAGCCAAAACACTGTGGCAAAAAATAATAATAACCTAAATAAAAGATCTCTGTGAGTGAGATCCCAGTGGAAAGAATGGGCTATCAAAGAAGGAGGTACCTTTCTCTGAAGGGGGGAGAGAACTTCCACTTTGATTATGGCCTTGTCCAAATAAGGTCGGAGTTTGTGAACTCAAGAGGCTTCCATAGCCTTGGCAGCTCATGTCAAGAGCCTCGGGTTATTACTGACGTCATAAATAAGAGTGTCAATTGTCAAATCAACAACGGGAGTCACTGTACACTTGCTCCCCATGTAGGATCTCTGTCCTTAATGTGTTGTACTATGGGAATTAATGGTGAAACTACTACTCAAACAGTACTTTATACTTTGTGCCTGTGTGGGTGCAAACTGTTGAAATCTTTACTTAGTATATACCAAGTTGATCTTCTGTATATAAAGATAATTAAAAATGAATCTTGATGAAGAATGGGATGGGAGAAGGAGAGGGAAATGGGATGGTTGTGGGTGGGAGGGAGGTATATGGGGAAAAGCTGCTATAATCCAAAAGTTGTACTTTTGAAATTTATATTTATTAAATTAAAGTTTAAAAAACAAAGGTGAGCCGGCGCCGTGGCTCAATAGGCTAATCCTCCACCTTGCGGCGCCGGCACACCGGGTTCTAGTCCCGGTTGGGGCG